AGCCGGGAACGGGCACGTCGGGAGCGGGAGCGCAAGGAGGAGCTGCGTGGTGGCGGAGGTGGTGGCGACATGGCGGAGCCCTCTGAGGCTGGTGATGCGCCTCCTGACGATGGGCCTCCTGGGGAGCTGGGTCCTGACGGCCCTGATGGTCCAGAGGAGAAGGGCCGGGATCGTGACCGGGAACGACGTCGGAGCCACCGGAGCGAGCGGGAGCGGCGGCGGGACCGCGACCGAGACCGGGATCGCGAGCACAAGCGGGGGGAGCGGGGTGGCGAACGGGGCAGGGATGAGGCCCGAGGTGGGGGGGGTGGCGGCCAGGACAACGGGCTGGAGGGTCTGGGCAATGAAAGCCGAGACATGTACATGGAGTCTGAGGGAGGTGATGGGTATCTTGCTCCGGAGAACGGGTATTTGATGGAGGCCGCACCAGAGTGAAGAGGGCCTTCCTCCCCCCACGCCCTGGTTCTGTTTGGACGTGTTCCTACCCACCCCTCTGCTGTCGTCCTCTCCCCCCGACCTTCTTGGCCACCACCTAAGTTTGCCAGCCAAGGGTAGGAGTCTCCTTATTTGTTCTGGCCCCTTGGATTTAAAAATAAAATTAATTTCCTGTTGATAACGAGCACCTTGGTTTCTTCTTCACTGCTCTTCATGTCTTCCTCTGAAGGTCGTCACCTGACTGTTGATAGCCCCACTTTCGTTTGTGTCCCAAGGCCTGCCAAGGGCTTGGGCTTTTGACCTAAGGCTGGGGCTACCCACGCTACACCAGACCTGCTTAAAATGGGATAAAGAGATGCTCTGCAAGGGTTCCCTCCGTTAGGATTTTTGATCCCTTCGTGATTTTCTTCCTTTTTTTTTTTTTTCCCCCAAATGTCTTCCACATTCCCTGTGGGGCCGTCCCTACCCTTGTCTTGGTGGCCGAATGGGGTTCTAGACACTAGATTGCTCAGTGGAAGCTGCAAGTTTGTGTGAAAGGGAAGCTGTCGTCTGCATTGGGGAGAGCGGGGAAAGGCTGAGGAGATGAACTAGGAGTGCAAGCTGCAGAGGGATAAGATGGGGGCCACAGAGCATCTGCACGAGGCCAGGAGGGCAAAGGGCCTGCGGTTGGTGATCGCGAGTTCACCATGAGTATTTTCACCTCATGCCTGCCAATGACAGCGGAGGATTAACAAGAAACCCAGGAGAGGTTCCATCAGCAGTTGAGATTCCAGCTATTTGTGGACAGAAGATTACTAAGGTGGTGGTGAGGACACTGCAATCTGGTGACCGCTTGAGAAGGAAGCCAGTGAGCCTTGCAGAACCCCAGAGGGGCTCGAGACCACAGCTGCAAGTACAAGCATAGCGGACTCCGGAATCTCTGCCCAGAACAGCTGCCCTCTGTTTGAGCCCTCGGGATGCCTACGAGCCAGGCATCTTCTGCCCAGACAAATACTGGACCTATTTTTGTGTCTGAAAAGTTTCTCAGTCTAAAGGTAAACTTGGCCTGATAACCCACAGGCAGCCTGTCTGCTAAACCTGGCACAAGGATTATGCTTTTTAACTACCTCCGTCTACATAAACATGCAAAAATGACCGGCAATGGAGAAGATCCTGCAGCAAGAGACCAGAAGCTAAATGGAAAAACTGGTCCTGGAAGGAAGAATTTAGGGAATAAAAGAGAACTCAATGCCTCTAATTAGTATATTCTCATAGAGATCCCAGATAGTGCACCTGGACTTCTGGAATTGGCTGTGAGCACAGGCCCGTTACATAAAGCCTGGACAAAACCTGCAAAAGCAGCTTGCGGAAGGCATTGGGGAGCTTGGCTCGAGGGTGTCTGATGCCGAAGAAAAGGAAAGCACGCAGGTGAACTTCATATTTACCCGCCCTTTTTCCTCGAGGGCATTCGCCAGTTTAGTGTGGGGGAAGTAGACTCAGCGGCAGTCCACTGGGCTGAGTTCACACAGGTTGGACTGCATAGCTTGGACTGGAGGGCCAAATTTCCAGATGGGGCACTGAGCCCCCAGATCTGGCCTCAATCTTCCCTCAAGGCATTTGCAAGCCGCGGAACCGCTTGCTGTGGGTGCAAGACACCTGCCCCCCCCAGCCCCACCCAAGGGCTCATCCGAAAGCTGTAGCTGGAGGCTACCGAGCTGAGCAAAGGCGGCCACAGCCTTGCAATGGCCATGCTGGAGATCTCCAGAGCTCCACCATATTGGAGTAAGGCCACAAGTGAAACAGACCACGCATGAGGAAACCTCAAAAGGACCTGTCAGGATTTATAAGGTGATCTTTCTGCCGGGAGAGGACTTAGCCCTTTGGGGGAAGATCGAATTCAGAGCCTCTGTGATTCTTAGTACACAATGCTCAGCATTTACTAAAAAATCATTAGGCATTCTATTTTTTTTTTTTTTAATATTTATTTGTCAGAGAGAGAGAGACAGAACACAAGCAGGGGGAGAGGCAGGCAGAGGGAGAAGCAGGCTCCCCGACGAGCAAGGAGCCTGATGTGGGACTCGATCCCAGGACCTGGGATCATGACCTGAGCCGAAGGCAGCCGCTTAACCGACTGAGCCACCCAGGCGTCCCATCATTAGGCATTCTAGAAAGAAGACTTGAGTTGCTGAAAACCAAGGGAAAAGTAGCCAAGAGACCCAGGCATTCTGATGTTGGGAGTTATCAGTGAAATAACTAGGAAACAAGGAAAGGATGGAGAGCTTTACTAGAGATCTGCCATCTTTAAAAGAAAAAAAATCAAACGGAAACTTCAGAACTGAAAACAATAACAAATTAAGGATGTAGGTGCAGTGCGCCTGGGTGGCTCAGTCGTTAAGCGTCTGCCTTCGGCTCAGGTCATAATCCCAGGGTCCTGGGATTGAGTCCCACATCGGGCTCCCTGCTCGGCGGGAAGCCTGCTTCTCCCTCTCCCACTCCCCCTGCTTGTGTTCCCTCTCTCACAGTATCTCTCTCTGTCAAATAAATAAAATCTTAAAAAAAAAAAAAAAGGTGCTGGGGTGGGGAAAAAGACAAACTTTCTTGAAAGTAAGAGAAACCTCACAATCTTTTAAGGAAGTCAACAGGGAGTTAAAGGAGAGGAAACAGGATCCAGTTCAGAGCAGCAGGGGAAAATCCCAGATGGCAGTTTCTAGAGAGCACTTAGTCCACACTGGAGTCAGAGGACTCAAATTTCTAAGGAGTTTCACAATAAAAAAGCTTCAGTCGCTGAACTGATGGCATTTATCATTTCACAATGTACACAAATAAAACCATCGTGCTGTAAGCACCCTAACTTCTACAGTGATGCTTGTCAATTATTTCTCAGTAAACCTGGCTAGAAAAGATTCAGTAAAATATGTTATGATGGAAAGTTTGAAAAATTGAGAATGTGGAAGAAAAGCAGATTGAAGTCGCAGGAAAAAAGCTGTTCAGGAGAGGCAATGTAATCACAGAACACTGCTTGGGCTCTCTAGTAAACAGTCAGTACTTAGACATAATATGAGCACTTTATTGATTGCCCTAGGAACTGGTACCATAAAACTACCATGGGAAGAGAGCGGAAAGGTTGTAAGAGCAGAAAATCAATATGTAATATATTACTAACGTCTAAAATTGATAAATTGAGAAGTAACAGATTACTTAGATACACAAGCAAAGTATCTTTAAATTGTTGCCTCTTGCAGCGGGGAGAGTTAGGACAGGGGTTGGTGCTTTTCAGTATTAGCCCTCCTGTGTTACTTGATTTTGTTTTCACTGTCAACTGTTGTTAAAATGAGAGAAAAATACTATGAAGGAGAGGGATAGACATACCTGCTCTAGTCCTCTCACTTGGCTAAAGTCCTTTTCAGGATTCCATTCCCCTATCCAGCTAATGGTGCTGGTGGGCAGCAGTCAGACTTCTCCACAGTCTTGTCAACGTTTCCTATATTTCTTTGGCCTCTCTAGAGTGTATCTGATACCACTGCCCACTTCTTTTTTTAAAAGCACTCTCTTAACCTTTCCTCCCACCTGGTTTTCCTCCTACTTTCCTGCCATTCTTTGTCTTCTTCCCACCTTTGAAATGTTAGGAGTTTCAGGGACTCAGTCCTAGGTCCTCTTCGTTGTGCATTATCTTGCCCCCAGCTAATGAACACAGCTAACCACCAAGACAGGGTCCAGACATTTCCAAATCTGTCCACCTGTCCTTCCTGTCTCCTATCCGTGTCCAAGCCATCACAGTATTGCTGGGAGAACCTTCTCGCTGGTCCCCCGGCTTCCGCTGTTGCTGCCATCCAATCCAGTCCCCACATCGTAGCTACACGGATCTTAAAATACACATGTGAATATCACATTTTACTCTTAGGAGTTACCACGAAGTCCAAAGTCATCATGTGTATGCCAACACACAAGGCCGTGCATAACCTGTATCCTGACTACCTTCTCACCATCATGAACCACTCTAGTTTTTACTTTGTGGGCTCTTTCCGCCTGGAAAATGATTCATGCCCCACCTCCTGATGACCTTCCCTCCAAGGACTATCTCAGTGGCCCTCCTGGAACACCACCTCCTCACTCCCAATTTATCACAGCCATAGTTGGTTGTCTACCTCCCCTCTCCCATAGACTAAGTTCCTTGCGAGCAGTGGGCTTGTTTGCCCTGCTCACCATCGTGTCCAGATGTTTAACATAACGTTTGTTCAATGAACGTGGAAAAAAGAGAAAGGGGAGAGACAGATGTGGCGGGCAGGGCAGTGAAACGGAAGGAGGTGCAAACAAGCTGCAAGAGGAGGGGTCCCAAACGGGACAGACAGTTGGCGACTGTGGGCTGGGCAGCCAGACAGGCGTGGCAGCAGGTGGCGCGGCCACGGCGCCGGGAGCGGAGCACAAGTCGAGCCGCGCCCCCGCTGGGGGCGCCCGCCGCCCGGGGCG